GATGTAAGAATTATAAAAAATAAAATATTTTAAAGAAAATTCCTTGGCTTTTAACCTAGGAGTTGCTCTTCACTAGGACTGAGGAAAAGTCCCAGCAATAAGCATTTTAGGGAAACTTTTTGTTAAAGTATAACACAGAAAGATTCAAAAGTCACATGTGTACAGCTCCCAGTATCCCCCAGAACAATAGATATAAATCACTAGCTCTTCTTTTCCTTCATCCTAGTTCATCATCCAAGTAGTCACTATCCTGACTTCTAATACCATAGATTAGCTCTGCCTGTTATGTAAATGGATTAATACAGTATGTGTCATCTCTGGCCTCTTTTACTCAACATTGTGTCTGTGAGATTCCTACACCTTGTTCCCTGTAGTAATAGTTTGTTCATTGTCATGTCTATGGAAGTTCAATTGGATGAGTATACCATAACTTATTAGTCAAGCCTGATGTTTCAAAATGTTTTCATTTTTCTGCAGCATGAATACTACTGCTATGAGAAGTTTTGAGCGGGTCTTTTGCAAAAATGTGTATACATTTCTGTCACATCTATACCTTGAAGTGTAACTGATGGGTCAGTTAGTATGCTTCTGTCCAGCATTAGCAGATAATGCAAACAGTTTTACAAGGGGCTCTACCAATTTATGCTCCCAGTAGTAAACAAAGTTCAGTTGCTCCACATCCTTGCCTATAGTTGGTAATATGAGTCTTTTTAATTTAAATTATCCTGGTTGGTATTAGCGATATCTCATTATGGTTTTGCTTTTAATTCTTTCATGAATGTTGAGAACCTTTTCGTTGTTTTGATGATTTAGTTATACTTCCTTTGTAAACACCTTGATCAAATATTTAGACTAATATTTGATGATTTGTCAATCATCTCACTGAATTTTATAAATTCTTGAATTATATGTACATTGAAAATATCTTCTCTGTGACATATATTTTTATTCCTTAATGGTGAGTTTTGATTAATAGTTCTAAAAAATGATAAATGTTAAAATAAAAAAATAAACTACATAAAGATTAAAAACAAAAAATAAAACAAATAAAGTTCTTTTATATTGTCTAGCATACCTATTTTATCTTTATATTTAATGCATTCTGTTTCCTATATTAGAAATATTGGAAGATTGCCTATCCCAAGAAATATTTCCAATTCCAAGATTATTTATTCAGAATCCACGTTTTTGATAAACTCCATGATTCTATGCATTATCAGATTTTTTAAAAAGATTTATTTTTTTATTTATTTATTTATGCATACAAGAACTGGGGAAGGCCATAGATTCAGGGGAGAGAGGATTCACCAGAGACAGAGTGGGGAACAGAACAAGCAGATTGACTGAAATACACTGCAGAGGGGAGCATTGGGCGAGGCAGGAGAGGTCTGCTGCACCATGAGGGTAGCTCCCTGGCCTGGTATCTAACAGTGGCTGGGCATAGTTTGATAGCACTGAGAGTTTAACCCCTGCATGACCAGGTAGGCCCTGCATTATCAGATTTAAGAAAATCTAGTTTGAGTATTTAAATCTGTTAAATATTGTTATATGCCAGAGGATGTCTGAGGTCTGAGTTTTTGATAGTGAAGTTCAATGTCCAGTGTCAATAATGTCTTCTTTAAAGCACTAAATAAAGGGAGGGAATTTAAAAACCAAGGTTCATAAATAAGGGATCAAGAAAATAATAATAATAAACAAACATATAATTAACAGGCCACTATAAATCAGAGATATTCTGCAGGGGAGAGGGAGGAAGCGAGCTCAAAACCAGGGAGGGAAGAGCACAAGGAACCATGGTGATGGTGCAGAGAGACTACACCTGAGAGAAGAAAGCAAATATTGTACAAAAATGAACATTGACGTAAAATATATTTAAATAAATAAATTTAGATTTAAAAAAATAAATAAAAATGACTCAAAATAAAAGAAAACAAGGCTCAATATCAAGGTCTGTTAAAGATAGACTGGATATATGTAGAGTCAGTGGAAAAATATGCCTGATCACATATCAGAATTTGGTATTGCTATATCAATATCAAAGTCTAGGGAAGCAGAACTGAATAGCTTCCAAGTTTCAGAATCACATGCTAAGGAGACAGGGCCAGTGGAGCAGAGCCCCAGTCTGAGGTTTTGCTGGGGCTCTCAGAAAGGTGAGACACTGCAGGCATGGCCGCCATGTTTCCATGATTCATCATAGTCAACCTCACTGTCCTTCCTCCCTACTTTGATGAAGTAATTTTAGATCTACTGATGATCTACATTCTTATCTCATCTTAGAATGTGATTCCATTGCTCTGTTATCAAGAAATCATTGTATAGATTTTAGTGGGCCAGGACAGTGAAATATATTCTACCTTGGACATTAAAAAAGAAAAAGTTTTACATCACAGTTTGACCCTTTATATTTTTCAGTAAGTTCCTAATTTGATTCTTTTAAAAACAAGTTATATTACTTTTGGAGCTATCTTACGCTCTGGAGTCAGACTTGTATGACTCAAATTCCTGTCTGTGCTTGGCCTAACTATTTATTTGTATTTCATTTCTCTCACTTATTGACTAGAGATAATAATAATGCCTTTTTCTCATGATATCCATGAGGATTACATAAGTTAACATGTGTAAACTGCTTATAGTTTCTGGCACTTAGGAAGTATTCAATAAATCTTTGATATTATGACCATATACTCTCTGGTTTAATAAAATAACAATATGGTTTGAGTTCTTTATAACTAAAAATTATATAAATACACAAAGTATGACATTATAAGGCAATGAAAGCCATAAATTAATAATTTCTCAAATATTACTTATATTCATTTTTAGAATAATTTGTTACCCCCTCATTTACTTTTTCACTCCAAAGATATTACACAGAACCTAACTGTCGAGACTTAGAGACCTGAGAGTAGTCAGAACATAAAAGAAATCATTATCAGATAAAACAGTTCTTATAAATTACAATGAGATGCTCCATATTAATATTAAAGAGCAGTAGCTACATTCTTGTCCAGAGACCCTGCTCCACAGTTCAGCTATGTAGGGTACTAAGTTGTAGGAGACTCTAAAGTTCTGATTTCACTGATGCCAAGTAAGTCCATCACACAAAACCACAACTCCCCCCACCCCCTGTTCTAGAATTCCATCCACAGACTCTTGAAAATCCACTCGGTTGAACTACTTTCCCAAGAATATTAATAGAGTGTCAATCCTTAATTACCCTATGTTTCCTGAAAGCACTTTTCCTAAGGGATAGAGAAGACATCTTTAGGATATAATCTCTGAAAATTGAAGGGATACCATAAAATTGGGGGAGAAATAGAAAAAAAAAATAGAACAGGAGACATCGTGATGGCTAGCTTTGCTTGATATGGATGTGGATTGCTGGATAGGAATCTAACCAAAGGATAATTTGATCCTCCTTCATGACCTGTCATACTATTTGATGAGCAATAGTGAACTCAATGTACTTCACTGAATCCAACATTTGAAATTTAGAAAATGGGCAAAAAAGCTTTAGTTCTCTAGCTAATTGAGACCTGACTATAAACCATATGAAAAATTCCAATTCTCCCAGGGAAATTCTTGTAGGAGAACGCTAGGAAAGTGGTTGCCCAAGTAGAACAGCCTGACTCTGACGTCAGTGAAGAGACCTCTTTGTGGTGGTGATCACAGTGAAATCATTCACAGCACTCAGAAATGATCATAGAACTCTCTCTTGGCAACCTTGAAGTTTTCTCTGCCTCAGAGAATAACTTTACAATTACTGAAAACATGATATGGAAGAAGAAAATGTTGATGCCAACCAGGGGTATAACTGACTGAAAAGTTCAGTCCCAGTGTAACTGTAAAGGAGTAGAGTCTGTGAGCCCATTGCTGGGAATAGGCGAGTGGGTAGGGGACTGATTTTCCCCTTGTCATGGGATTTAGGTGTTAGATTACATGCCCTTTCTTTGAAAATTAACAACTGTTCATATTCAGGGATAATAAAGATGAGGCACTTCCAGGAACGGAAGAGTATGTAGGCTAATTGTATCAGTATGGCCTATTGCCCTGTGGGCTTTGACTGCTGAAGCCGTAGATATGACTAAGTCGTTAAAATAGCAGATGAACATTTACTAGATGGAAAAAGCTTATCCTGATGGCCAGTTTCTCTCCCTGCTTGGAAAAAATGTTGGCTTCTTTCACTGGGGCATTCATAAGATGGAAACTAAAATGGGCTCTGTGAAGTGGGTGGGAGGGTAAGGAGAGAAAAACAGTCAAACCAAAGCAGCCAAAGTCAGAAAGGGTCATGTGAGGAAGTGGAAGAGTTGAATGTCCTTGAAAAGAGATGGAGGAATTTTTCTCAGCCATTTCATGGCGTGGTGTGGTGACACTCTGAACTTCAAGAAGCGGTCAGACAGAAGCACTCAGCATCAACGGCCGTGGGTGTTCCTCAAAGTGCCAAATCTCAGGGTGTTACCCAGTTATTCTCTTGGTTTGTCTAAACATGGCAAGGGTTCCTGGGAAAGATTGGAGGCCACAGTATGTAGTCATTTTAACTGCGAGTTCAAAATACATTTTTAGCCATTACAGTAGCATACTGTATTTGCAGAGCAAAGGCGAGCAACCGAATCACAGATGTCTGTTGCTGGTGTCTTCTTTAGGACATGTGAAGGCAGTTTTCTCACAGTGTGAGAAGTGTGAGCCATGGTCTGTGCCCCAACTTTTGGTGGGACTCTCGCCGGTGGCCGGGGATCGAACTGGCACTGCAGAGGCTGCGGGCAGCCTCGCAACCCAGCGCTCAACCGCTGCGCCACCAGGGAAGGCCCATGTGCCCCATCTTTTGTTTGCTCTTCCAGCCTCTCTGTAGCATCATAAGTTGTATTGTGCCCCCCAGATGTCTTCCCTGAATGTAATCTGGGTTTGCACTGGGGAAAAAAGGCAGAGTTGTGCTCATTCGTTTCTGCTGTTCCACTAACTGTGATGGTCTCGGTTCTTTCCCTATCTCCTATGCCCTTCAGTTCGGCTCAGTTCTCTTCATTTCGACAAGTAACTGCTGACTGACTAGCAGGTGCCTGAGTGTGGGAACTTCAGAATGACCTGTAGTGACTTACAGTTTGGTGAGTCTCAGTTTTCTTGTCTACTCATCACATTGATTTCTTCTTCAGACTACCTGGTTTTGGTTCCTCTCTCTGCCACTCAAATGCTGTGTGACACTGGACAAGTTACCTAAGTTCCTTGTGCCTTACTTAGTTCATTTTATTGTTATTATAACTAAATGAGCTACTATGTGCAAAATAGATACTGTTTTAAATATAGTAAGTGCTCCAAATATATTACCGATTATTGTCATTATCTTCTTTGTTTCATTACCCTGTCAGAAGGTCACATTTTATATTAATAAGATATCCCTCCCTCTTATCTCTTTTCACTTATTTACCACATGTCTTTTATGTTTTTTTTTCCTCCCTTTTTGGTCCAAGTATGATATCTTAATACAGCAACTAGATTTCATACACTTTGGAGAAAAGAATCACATCTTTTACTCTGTCTACTACACACTAGCTAGCAGCTTATACACGCAAAGGGTACTCCATAAAACACTTGTCAACTGCATGAAGTGTTAATAAAAAGGACCCCTTTTTAGTTGTAATTTGCATTGAAATTTCCTCAGCAGACTGGCCCTCACACCTTACAGCTGTCTTCATGTTTTTCTCTAATAATCCTAGCCATTCCTCTCCTAAATATTCTTTCTTCCAGCCACTGAGTAACTTTTCCCAACATCTGATGCCATTGGGTGTCTTCCTGAGCACTGGCCTTGTTAATGCCATAAACCTGCCTTTCTAAATGTACAGGGCTTTCCTTTTATGACCAATTTAATAATTTTTCTTCCATTTTCTATCCATTTTTCTTCCCAGGTATATTCCCACATGTTTCTGTTCCAGCTATCACACTTTGGGAGACCCTAGTAATAATAACATACATGTAAATTTTATGCAACACTCTTTTTTGAGTTGTAAAAATATGAGAGGTAAATGGAAAACCAGCCTGAGAATTTAAGAAATTTTACCAGAATCAAAAGTAAATAAGAAGTAGGCCCAGGACTCACATAGGTCCTTAAACTCCAGGTCAATCTCTCTTATTTCCATCTGGCTAGTTACTTAAGCAGTTCAAAGTCAGAGATTGAAATAAGTAGGAACATGGCAGGATTGTATGTCTGAAAAATGAAATTATGCTCTGCATATGCATCTCTTAAAATGAGTCCTGCCTAGCCTACAGTGTCTCTGCAAACTTGAGGAAAAATTGCTTAGGAGTCTTATGAAGTGCCTCTTCCAACAGTATATCAGAAAGTATAATTTATGAATCAGAAAATCAGGACTGAGAAGAAGGTATCTTTGCTTTCTCTATAGTTTGGAGGCAGAAGAATCCTCTCTCAGTGGAGGCGTGGATGTCCTGTCACCCATTGTCTGGTCCTACATATCTGGGCCTCTCTGTCTTAGGAAAAAGAGCCATTACTTAGCATCGACATGCATAGCTACAGCACACAGAAAGCAAAGCAGACCTGATGAAAGATCTCATCCATATTCACAGATGGCATCATGGATCAGAGTGGGGAGCTATGCTGGACACAGTTCCTGTACCTTCTGCCCTTTTTTTTTTTTCTTGTTCTTTACCTGTAAAATTGCCAGGTTCTGGCAAGAGTGACCCTCATGCTATTTCTACATTTGAGTTTTCATGTGGTCACCGTCACCTGGGCCCACTACATGGCAGAGAGAGATGCTGCTTCGACACATTCATCAAGCTGCCCTTGGGTGTTTTGACTTCCTTGGTCATTTCCTGAAGAGCCCAGGGCTGCCACCTGAATGCACTGGGATTCATGAAGCTAATCTGATAGATGAATGGCAGGGAATGGATTAGACTATTTTCTACCTCTTGGACAGTCTGTTCTCACATGGTCACTGTGGCCTCTGGTGTTGTTCTGAACAATGAGAAACTCATATATGCTAGCTGTGAAGCAATGGCCAGCTGGCTTATGCACATTCTCATTTCTGCTCTTCTTTCTGTTCTGCATTCTCCATTTCCCCTACACTCCTCACTAAAAGAATAGTATGTGAGTTTTTGCATTTGGCTCTGTTTTTAGGAATCTGAGCTAAAGACACACAACACATTCAGATATTGAAATGAAATTATTCAACCCCTTTCTCTCCAGCCCAGTCTGGCTTCTCCACTTACCACACCACCAATGGTCTGTCTTCATGCCACAAATTCATCTTCATCTTTGACTTTTAAGCTTATAACATGAATGGTTTAAACATAACTAGTCATCCTCTAGTTCCTTTTTAAAGCCATCATCTTGAAAACTGTTCCTGTGGGGACATGGAATACTATCTCTCATGAGGTAGTTTATGGTCTCTTTGGACATCTGTCATTGTTATTATGTTGTATTTTAACTTTCACATCAAACCAAAATTTATTTTCAGTCCACCACAACTTCTATCCATGGGTTTAACCATGCCTTCCAGAGTAACAGAGGATAATTCTTTAGCTATGTAAAGTCAGTTGACTCTTCTGATCGCATCAAAAGTACTGGTCCCCCCAAAAAAAAAAAATCATTCCCAATGTTTCCAACTGTTCCTCATATATTATTTTTTGAAACACTCTCCAAGTTTTATGCTTGGTTTCCTTGTCACGAAACACTTTTCCAAAGTGTCAAAACTCCTGTTGCTTGAAGATGAACAAAATAATGGGGCCTCGTGAGAGAAACAGAAGGAAAAGTACACTAAGACACTATTCTTTCAAGGTAAACTTCTGTTAATTGTTGGCATGTGTGAACTTATGTGAGAATGGCAAGGTGGGAGCTGAGAGACCAGAGAGCAATAGCTATTCCTGAATCTTTGACTTCCATTTGGGAGAGCAGGCTGAGTTTTCATAGTCTGTTGACTTGGGTTCTTCCTGCAAGGAAAGTATATGGGAAGCTGACCCTTAAAAAGTAGTAAGAGGGCCTCCCCTGGTGGCGCAGCGGTTGAGCGCTGGGCTATGAAGCTGCCTGCAGCCTCTACAGCACTGGTTCGATCGCCGGCTGCCGGCGAGGGTCCCACATGGCGCGACAGACCTCTCCTGCCATGCCCGCTGCTCCCCTCAGCAGTGTATTTCATCAGTCTGTCTGTTCTGTTCCCCGCTCTGTCTCTGGTGAATTCTCTCACCCTCCCGCGCTTCTGACTGTACCCAGTGCTTGTATAAATAAATAAATAAATCTTTAAAAAAAAAAAGAAATTAAAAAAAAGTAGTAAGAATTTCATTTCAAACTCAAAAGATTATGATCTTAAAAATCAGAGCAAGAAGCTGATATAAACCAGAAAGTTATTAGGGCATGTGATATTTAAATGACCCACTGGGAGTTAATCTAATATTGGGAAAGACATCCTTTCATCTACAGTGAGAAGATTAGAAATAATGTGCTTTTTTTATGCTAAAAGTAGGGGTGATGTTGAGTAATTCTTTCCTTTTCTTGGGGATGGTATTGGGGGTTGGGGGACTCCCTGGGACATCAGACAAAGAATGCCATGAGCTGGAATCACTGCTTGACACTCAGTGCTTAGATACCAGCCAGTTAGGAAAATTCTGCTCCATTTCACCACATTTAGAGACCGAGCCCTAAGCCCAGGAGGAGCAATGTGTAAACATAGCAGAGGTAAAGGAGTCCTCAGCTCTCAGCATGGACTTTCCTTGATGAGTAGTCAGCAGGTCTGGTTTTTATTTAACTGCCTCCTGCCATCATAGCATATTAGAAATAAAATTAAACCGACAACCAATGTAGAGGCAATATACCTCCCAATCCATGAGACTTGTCAGTCTAGTGTTTAGCATTTTGAACAAAGGCCTTTAATAATTACAACATAGACTCCAACTGGTAAAAAAAGTAAAAGCCTACTGACTAAATTTGGTGGTGGAAAAGATATTATATAACCACAAATATGGGGAAGAAGAGATATATTAAAAATTTCCAATTCACAGATTCTTTTCTGACAGTCTTATAAGAAATGTCTCCTAAATTTCCTGGAATGTGTGTTAGACCCCTCTCCATGATTCCTGCAGGTATACTTGAAGTCTTTGCCAATAGTTCAGAAGCATGGCCTGTTTGACAAGTAATCTCTCCCCTTGACATTCCCAGTGCTGAGATGGAAACCTTCCTCTGTCCCTTAGTTATCTATTCCATCTTAAGATTGCTCTGTTCGGAAAGTCTTCCTATGTAGACAATGTTGTTTACCTCCCTGTCCAGAAAAGGTCACCAGATATCAGATCAAGGATGACACCCTTGTGTCCTAAGTCAACATGGGATCACACAGAGATCAGGAGGAAAGCTTGGGCAGTTACAGTTGCGGTCAAGTTTTATAAGATCTATAAGATGCAAAAATGCCCCACCTAGCATTTGAGCCAAATGGAGCTCTATCCTTCTCCCCTCTGGCTTATGTCCTACTCACCAAATGCACTTCTCCTAGCTCTTCCTTGTATCATATCATCATAAGAACCATGGCATATTTATCCACTGTGGCAACTCAGAAGGTCTAATCTTTCCTTGCTTGTTCTAAGTGAATTTCTCTTTTACAGGTTCTCATCATTCCCCAGTCTATCTTCCATGCCTCTAGCCTGTACTGCTCTTATTAAATAAAATCACATCTCAGGGATCTTTAGTGAAGTATTGCTTCATGAAAAATGAATCCAAGACTTTTATAGCAGGTCCATAGACTCTTGACTTGAACAGAAGACATCTGTGCTTGCTTCACTGAAGAGGTGCTGAAGAACAGTTCAGTCACTCCTTGTTCAAAAATTCTCAATAACTAGGAGCTTACATCTTTGGTAGGTTTCACCATTCAATTCTGATGGTTAAAAAGTGTTTCTGATTATTAGCATAAATCATTTTCCTTGTGTTTCTGATTGTTGGCACTAACTTTTTAGAGCTACACAGGAAAAGTCTTTTTTTAGTTCTGCAATGCTGAGATATATGTGAGGAAGTTGTAAAGCAATATCTCTTCTTTCTAAGCTTCTCCCTGTGTGTGTGCACACACACAAACGTCAATATTGGGCATCATTCTTCCTCTGTAAGATGGTTGTGTTCATT